TAGATCTGGCCGGTTGTAGCCAGGCGTAGGTGGGCACTGCCTCACGGCTACAACTGCTCAAGGTGCTGGCTGTCGGGGAGCTTCAGGCACGAGTTGGCCATGCAGGCTTCGGCACAGGAGGTCGCCACAGCACATGGGAGCCACGTGGGGCCGCTTGCAGCCAGCTGCAACGCGCGGAGGCCACGCGGGGGATACATGGGACTCTTCGGGGCTCAGGTCGATGGGGCACCTGGGCCATTTGCCGGCCGTGGGGGGCCTACGGGCGCCACTTCTCGGTCGTGTGTGTGGCCACGCGGGCCTTGGCGTTGGAGGGTGCCATGGCGCAAGGGAGTTGTGTAGGGCTGACCTCGCACTTCCTACGTGTCGCGCGGAGGTCGCGTGAGCCTATCGCGTGGAGGGCGTGCGGGCGGCTGCGCCCCAACTAGGTAGATCTCGTCGAGCATGCTGGCGGCGCCATGGCCGAAAACCGCACGCGACGCAGGCACGAGCAGTCTCGCAAACGCCTAACGCTAAGAGCTGTAGGCCGAGGGAGTCGATGGCATTCACCCGGACCATAGCCTGCTCTAGGAGCCGGACCACCGCGAAGACCCTGGCACCACCGCAAGTTCTAGCACCGGATGGCCAGATCTGGCCGGAGGTACCGTAACCCGAGCTAGGGACGCCGGATCCACTGTTGGCCAACAACTGCAGGAGGAGCTTGGGGAGGGCGAGAGAGCAGAGGCGAGGGGAGAAGGAAGGATTCGAATGGCTGCTTTTTTGAGCGCCACCACGTCCGCCGCCACCGCTCACCGGAGAGCAGCAGCGGCGGCCAAGGAGCAGCCAGAGGAGGGGGGCCTCGATGATGGAGGCGCGTTGCCCCGAGCCGCCTCACGGGAGACGACACGAGGCGCTTTTGCAACGCAAGGAGTCACAATAGCTGTCTCAGTTTAAACTGATTGCCCGGTCTACAATATTTTTCTCTCATAATAAAACAGCTTCAGCCAGCTTACTACCAAGGGTTCTGCAGGTAGACCAGGACGTGGTCAATGACCATTTTGCCCTAGGAATGAACGAAGAGGGGACTCCTCTGCGTGACAAGACGGGCAATAGTTAAATGAATATTAGATTCCACTTATATTTTACATTTGATTCCTCTGCTTGTACATAATCACGTTGCCATGCTGATGAATAGCACCATGTTCCCTCCCAATATACATCTCACCAGAGGGGGGAGAGGGAGATCGAGAGAGCTCATCATCAAGTCCTAGTCGAGGGGTTGAGGTGCGCTGATTCTGCTTCCTGCAGCCAGTCCGCCATGCCGCGAACACAAGACGAGAGCACCCATCAGCAGAGGCACAGCAGCAATGGCACTCCTACCAGCCCGCAGCAAAAGCAAGAGATCATGTTGGAGCTCCGCAAGTACATCCTGCTGCTGGCGTCGCTGGTGGCCACGGTGACTTACGCCGCCGGGTTCAGCCCACCGGGTGACGTCTGGCAGGACACGGCCGGCGACCACATCGCCGGCGACCCCATCATCCGGGATACCCACTACAAGCAGTACGTGGCCTTCTTCTACTGCAACGCCACCGCGTTCGCCGCGTCGCTCGTGGTCCTCGTCCTCGTCCTCATCCTCGCCTCCCTCGACGACAAGGAGAGCTCCTCCAACTCCTGGATCGTCAGCCAGTACAGGAACCACCCCAGGCTCGCCGTTCGGCCGCTGCAGCTGGTCATGGTGGTGGACCTGCTCAGCCTCATGGGAGCCTACGCTGCCGGCACCTGCCGGGACACGTTTACCACCGTTTACTCCTCGGTGCTTGTGGGCTTCGTCTTCTTCTACCTCGTTGTTCAGGTGGCGGTGGCCTCGTACTTCACCGACACCGGCTCCGGCGGCGTGCCCGAAGGCCAAGTCGAAGAAAGGCACCCGGTCCCGGACGACGCGCCTGCTTCCCTGGCTAGCGGAAACCCCAACTCCGGTTCCGGCGGCGGCGTGGCCGAACCCGAAGCCGTCGAAAAAGAAGAAGAACGGCAGAAGCCGAAAGAAAGGTTCCGCAACAAGGTCCTCATGGTGATGGCGGCGCTTCCTTCAGTGCCCGGCAACAACCCCCAATCCAGCTCCGGCAGCGTGCCCAACAAGGTCGAACAAGACAAGGCGAAAGAACGGTTCCGCAAGGTCCTGATGCTTCTCGCGACGTTCGCCGTGAGCATCACGTACTTGGCCGGGCTGAGCACGCCGGGAGGCTTCTGGGACGTCGCCGGCGCCGGACACGGCCCCGGCGACGCCATCCTCAAGGACCGTCACAACACGCGCCTGGCAGTGTTCTTCGGTTTCAACACCCTCGCCTTTGTCGCGTCACTGCTCATCATCGTGGTGCTTCTGGACACGAAGCTCCGCAAGATCAATGCCTACGGGTTCATCGTCGTCGCGCTGTTCAGCCTCGTCGTCGCGTACAACGCCGGCAGCTGCAGGCAGACCGACACCACCGTCTACGTGTTCAGCCTCATCCCTGCCGTTCTGGTGTACATTTTGTTCCTCTACTTTGTCGCAGATCACATCCACGCCACATGGGAAGCAATAAAAAAACTTTTCAGGTAACTAATAATGTTCAAAATTGCAGTTCAAATTGAAATAAATATTTTTATTCCTCTTGCCCCTAATGGTTGCAACGGCCATCAACAGGACCAAATTGTTGCGAGAGCCATCAACACCACATGATCGCGACAACACCAATGGCAGGTAGTATTCAGAGTTTGTCTCGATTTGGTACCGCTCGCTCTTCCTTTGCAAATCATTGGCATTCACAACATTCCGAAGCAGGGTCAGGGAGGGTAAAACAGAGAAGGAGAAAGCAGCAGACAAGGCTCGCTCTCTCGTCCTGCTGCTCGCCACTCTGGCGGCGACGATCACCTACCAAGCGGGGCTGGAACCGCCGGGCGGCGTCTGGCAGGACAACAGCGGCGACCACACAGCCGGCGACCCGATCCTTCTGACGACGAATCCCCGGCGGTATAAGGCTTTCTTCTACTGCAACTCGGTGTCGCTGGTGGCGTCCCTGGTCGCCATCATGCTGGTCCAGAGGAAGCATCTGCTCAAGCACCATGTGCTGGAGGCGGTCATGATACTGGACCTATTCGGCCTTATTGGTGCGTACGCGGCCGGGAGCTGCCGCGATGTGATCACCTCCATCCACGCCATGGCATTGGCTGGCGCCGTCCTTGTCTACGTGGTCATCCACGTCATCTTCATCACGCTGGATGACGACACGCGCACAAGGAGCGAGAGTGACAAGAAAAGGACAAGGAGTTGGTGGAGAAGACACGCAAGCGGCTGCTCCTCTTCGCCATCTTGGCGGCGACCATCACCTACCAAGCCGGCCTCACTCCGCCAGGGGGTTCCTGCTCCAGGACGACCAGTCCGGGCACCACGCCGGTGACCCGGTCCTCTTGTACAACTTCCCGCGCCGCTACAAGGCCTTCTTCTACGGCAACTCGGTGAGCTTCATGCTGTCCATCGCCCTCATCATCCTCCTCGTTAACCCCAACCTGTACAGGCCAGCCATACGGACCCATGCGCTGTCCGTGTGCACGGCCGTAGGCTTGTTTGGCCTGTTGGGAGCCTACGCCGCCGGAAGCACGCAGCATTTGAAGACATCCATCTACATATTCGTGTTGGTAGCGGTGGTCGTTGTCGTTTTCTTCATAGTTCTCCTGTTCCTGGTGTTTTGGTTCACCAGCAGCAGCAAAGATACTACACCATTACTAGCAGGAGCAGGAACAACGGAAGAGACCGACGATACACAAGACAATAAGGAGGAGAACACCAAGAGAAAGAAGAGGAGAGTGCATGCCAAGTAAGGATGAAAACGGTCCAACTCGATCGAAAAACTCCTCAACCGTTTTCTACTTTTACATTTGAAATACGAAAGCGAAAGCGAAAGCGGACAAGCCGGACACGAAAACGAACACGAACTTACGGAATATCTAGAATTTCGGAAACGAACCAATTCGAGCGGAATTATGTCGAACACGGTCGGTATGCGAAAATTCAATACGAAATACCGACCCACAGTGCATAGCATTAAACAAGTGCACGACCAAATACATAACAAGTTCACAACTAACAAGTGCATGATCTAGTTCAAGTGCATAGCATTAAACAAGTGCATGACCAAATATATAATAAGAGAGATGAGGCTGGGCGCCGTCTATAAGAGAGGGCAGCTAGCCACCAGTAGAAAGAACGCAGCTGCATGGTGAGCAGCCTGTAATTGGGCTGTATGACCTGTGCAGTTGGCCAAATTCGGTTTAAACCAAATTTTGAATTCGGAATATTTCAAATTAAAAGTAGAAAAGTAGAAAACGGTCGAAAAATATGTAAACCGTTTTCTACTTTTACATTTGAAATACGAAACATCTCAAATGCGAAAGCGAAAACGGTAAAGTCGGACAAGAAAATACCAAAGTTTTAAATCTCCGGCTATAGCTACCGCTATAGCTGGAGATAGCTGCTACGGAAGGAAAAGGCTAGGAGAACCAAATTTTAGCGCTAAGCAATCCTAGACGCTAATAGCTGTGTTTATCCAGAGATATCCGCTAAATACAACTTCCTTTAGCGGCAGCAGCGGCTAAAACAATGATGGCCCAAAAAGACAGCAGGCCCAACGTGCCTCCACTTCGAGTCTCTCTTCCCACACAGAACAGACCGACGCGGCAGCAGAGACTTCTGGGTGCTGGTGGCCGAATGGATAAGATCGAGTTTAACTGGAGGGAATAAGGCATTGTTTATATATGCAAATAACAACGAAAATGCAAAAAAAGGTAAAACAGGGAAAGTGTCTTAGCGGCTATTGTAGCGGGCTATTAGCGGCTATAGCGGTTCAGCAACGGTGCAGCTAAACCCTTTAGCCGGAGATTTAAAACTTTGAAAAATACGGATTCGATCGGATTAAATATAGAAAACGATGCGGTTCGGTTCGGGATATTTCCGTTCCGTTTTCATCCTTAATGCCAAGCGCAAGTACCTCATGCTGCTAGGGATCCTTGTGGGAAGTGTCACCTACCAGGCCGGCCTAGAGCAGCCGGGCGGAGCTTGGCAGAACAGCAGTGGAGGGCACGAGGCCGGCGACCCGGTGATGCATGACAACAGGAGGCCCCGGTACCTGGCTTTCTTCTATACCAACTCCACCTCGTTCATGGCGTCCGTCATGGTCATCCTGCTGCTCCTGGTACCACCGAAGCAGCTACTTCGCAAGGACCGCCGGCTCAAGAGGTGGCTTGTGGTGATGAATACAACAATTGTGCTGGACTTGCTTGGCCTCCTGGGTGCATACGCAGCCGGCTCGAGCAGGGGGTGGAAGACATCTGTGTATGTGTTGCTGCTGGTCATAGGCGTGCTGGTCTACATGGCATTCCATCTCGTTCTATCCTGCATCATCGGAAAGAGGAGCCAGAGCGCCCAACCGTTGCCTGCCGAGTCACCACCGCCAGCGAAACCCGAAGAAACTGCTCCTGATCCTCCAGTCTAGTGTTTGTATGTCCCTCTTAGTTCTTCAATTATATGTATGTATATTGTATTTGATGAGCCAGAGATATCAACAATACAGCAGGTCTAGTTTTTCAAGGATACCTTGCACAAACACCAAATACTAGAATGAAACAAGCTTACCGCATCTACTGCAATCCACCCTGAGAATTTCATGCCAAGTCACTCCTCCACACAAACATGTGTGATCTAAAATAACAATCTACCCGGCTTCTTGCATCGCACTAACATATTTCATGGAACACCAACCAGGAACTCAGTTGCCAGGTTGTCCAATCCTGACACCAACATGGCAACAACCTCCAGCATAACATACTTCAGGCATCACGCAGTGTCGTGGCATGTTGACACCAACCAGCTTGTGGAATCTTTTTTTTTTAAAGAGGAAGAACCTCTGCTTTTAAGAAAGCAAGGTATCAGGTATCAGATACACCAGCTTGTGGAATCAACGCGCTCCCTGTCCACGTAGAATACTCCACTTTGGCAACATTGATAGCTCAATGTATATAACGTACATCAGTTGGAGCATGGGGAAACTTTCTCTATGGCCATCTTGTTCCTTGTGGTCCAAATAGCCCACACAATACCTGCAAAAAACAACATTAAGAGTCTGCTAGGCAGAGGCCCCTTGCCCTGCAGCCAACTTCCAGTGAAATCCAACACAGAAGGAGTGTGTTCCCATTTGAACACCTCTCTCAAAATTCCCCAGGACAATTTAGCTAAATGACAATGGAAGAAAATGTGATCAATTGTTTCCAATTTCCCACATAAGCAGCATTTCCCATTTCCCTTCTAGCCCGTCTTCACTAGGCATTGAGCCACTTGGAGTTTGTTATTGAACACTTGCCAAAGAAAGAATTTAATTTTCAAAGAAACTTTGCACTTCCACAAGATCCCAGATACCCTGCTGGATACACCCCTATCAGTGAGGAACCTATATAAGGATTCAGTAGTATGTTGTTTACTTTTATCAAGTAACCAAGACACAGAATCAGGGCTATTCACTAGAGTTACTGTCTGGAGCTCATTGACTAAGCCCAGCCAATTCTGCCATTCCTGGGGTGTCAAAGGTCTCCTAAAATCAACTTCCCAACCCTCAGTCGACCAACAATCACTAATTAACAGAACAGTTAGGATGTTTCTAACCATCTTGTAGAGATCTTCATATAAAATCTTTAGAGGTACTTCATGTAGCCAACAGTCCTCCCAAAATTCACAAGTTTTCCCATCACCAATATTGAAAACAGCCCCCCATTTGAAGAGATGTTTCACTTTACTAGTAGCCATGCACGTGCGGCACGCACATGTTTATATAACTGTTTATATAGTTATAATATTTGAAGACTTATTCTAGTAAGATATGATTTCTGAATTATCTCATTAATGAGACATCACAATTGTTTTCTTAGAATATCACTTAGACAACTCGGACGCTCAATAACTCAACCATTCAGTCACTTGGTCACTCAAGCACTCACCGCTTAGCCATTCAGGCACACGACCGCTTAGTCATTCGGACATCTATCATATCTGCAGCATTATTAGACATTTAGAATCACATATTATTCCAAGTAGAAATGGCACCTCAATTATAAGTGGAACTCTTGGGAGCAGTGCCTATAGTCGACCAACACCTTGACATTTTTTTCAATTATTATCAAATAGTATATGCACATATTTATCCCTGAATTAGCAGTGATTTATTCTCTGTGATACATCAACACACTATCACAAGCATATACCAAGTCAGTTTAGTGCTGTGTCGAAAACATAAGCAGTTTACGCCCAGAATGAGCAATGATTCTCTGTGATGTCTACAAAAGACCACAAGCAAATACCAAACAATATATTGATGATAGAGCATGACCAAGTGAGCAAAGTGGACTGTCGAGGGACACACCTGCAAAAATCAGGTCCATTATTGTTTACACTTCACAGGGTTTCAGAAGATACAATTAGGAAATAGCGAGGTAGAAAACCTATCTATCATTATCAAAACACTTGAGTATCAACCTGACTTCATGGGCATTCAGTGTATGGATGACTAATAATAATGGAAACTTTAACACATCAATTCCTATATATTGTATTAAAAATGTAACTATTCATATAACAATACGAATACGATACAGTACAACCTTAACTAAAACAGTAGCCACATCACCAGGCAGGTACTGCCTGATGTAGAACTTCATCTGCAGGGATATCTGAAAAAATAAAAAGGCATAAGTGCATATAAGAATGGTTTCAGGGTATAAATGCATATTGCAATGATATTCCACCAAAAGAATACATTCAGAAGAACAAAAAAACAACTAATAACTTGATCTCACATTCTCACCCATTCTAACAGGGGAACTCGGTTTATGAAAGAAAGCAGCTTGCAATATGTGCTATATACCAGGAGGTCTGAAAAGTTGTGCATTGCGCAGAACCAAAAAAGAAGTGAAAGAGGGCATACAGAAACTGGACATGAAACTTCTTACAGCTTGGACTAAAAAAACTGCAATTATCCTGGTTGCATTGTCTAATCAGCTCCTCTCATAAAGCAAAGTTCACATGGATGCCGCAATCCTGCAAATGGGAGCAAGAGCCTCAGTAAATATTTTTCAGCAGATGGATATATATAAAACATTAAAAGGTTATTCCGCCAAGTATCTAACAGAAAGCATTACTACAAGACCAAGTAGACGTAAAATCTGCTGGTTTTTGAGATTGCCTTGCAAAATACTTTGTTTGCTGCTAGGACATTATTGGCTGATTTTTTACATGGAAGATCCTACATTTTTTTTTCTGAAAAGTATCTGCTTTGATGTATTCTATTGTAGTACTGTGTTAGCTTTCTGCAGGATACTTATGTCGTTTTTTCTTTCTTTTGAGACACCCTACATGCAATAATTTTGAACTATATAAATAAACACTTCTTAGTTAGCAATATTGTCTTTTTCAGACAGGCAGCAGTTAGCCTCAAAGTTAAACAACAAACCTTGCTGCTCATGTCAATGTCTGTCTTCAGCTACATATATCTATACGATTATCAAGTGCGAGACATATCTATACGATTATCAAGTGCAGGACATATATCTATACGATTATCAAGTGCAGGAGTAGGGTATGTATGCCGTGACCATCAAACCTTGTCATAAATCCATGTGCGCAAAAACAGTAAGATGGCCACTGTGTACTGTATTGACATCAGGAAGAGGTGGAGAGAACTACTGGTGATTTATTTGCATTTCTGTGCTATCAATGGACAACTACTTTTGAATGTGTGACTGTGTCATATGACTATATGAGTACACTGGATATGAGCCAAATTTACTTTCTAGTGGTTTCAGTAAAATTAGTAGGCAACTTCGTCGAGCCGTTCCTTCCACTACCGGAGACCGGCTCTTTGCCGAGTGCCAGGTGGTTTGCCGAGTGTTGAGTGTAAAAAAAAAACACTCGGCAAAGAGACTCTTTGCCGAGTGTTTTTTTTTTACACTCGGCAAAGAAAATTTCAAAGCACATTTTGAAGCAGTAAATTAATTCAAATGAAAAAGTTTTCAACTACAAAGTTGTATAACTCATCAAGATGTACAATGTTTGTTTTGGTCTTTTCTTCATACGACAAAGTGAAAATAAATTTGTTCACAAATCTAACATATCTCTATTGTAGTTTATGAAACTACAAGAGAGATATATAAGATTTGTGAACAATGTTAGAACGACCATGTCGGATGAACAGATGACCAAACAACTAAATAAACTTTGTAGATCTCGAAAAATTATGAAACTTTGTAATTGGCAACTTTTTTATTTGAAAACATCTTGTCATGCAAAACTACGTTTGAATTTCAAATTTTCAAAATTCGAACTTTTCAAACGACCTCGGATGAAAAAACAACTAAAATAAACTCTGTAGATCTCGAAAAGTTATGAAACATTGTAGTTGACAACTTTTTGATTTGAAAACATCTTGTCATGCAAAACTGTGTTTGAATTTCAAAATTTTAAAATTCAAATTTTATAAACGACCTCGGATGGAAAAACATCCTAAACTAAAAGTGTAGATATCAAAAAGTTATGAAACTTTGTAGTTAATAAATTTTTGATTTGAAAACATCTTGTCATGCAAAACTGTGTTTGAATTTCAAAATTTTAAAATTCAAATTTTGTAAACGACCTCGGATGGAAAAACTTCCTAAACTAAAAGTGTAGATCTCGAAAAGTTATGAAACTTGTAGTTTACAACTTTTTTATTTGAATTCGTTTAGGGCCTCAAACATGCAATTTACACTCGGTTTAGTATAATATATTATGAACTAAAATGGAATCCAGACACAAGTGAGAGTGTGGTGTAGTGGTAGAGGAGGTACGTGCACAGCGGGAGGTCTCGGGTTCGAATCGTGTTGGCCGCGGAGCCATGAAATTCACGCGAAAAATGTCGTAGATGGGTGGGCGCTGGCCGGTGGAGGCCTCCATCAATAAAAAAAAAATCCATTTTTTTTTTGGTAAAAATTCCCATTTTTTTCGGGTTTTTTTCGGTTTCAAGTTTGCCGAGTGTCGGGCACTCGGCAAAGGCTTTGCCGAGTGCCCGATAAAAGACATTCGGCAAAGTTGGCTTTGCCGTCACTGTTTTTGGCGAGTGCTGTTCGCCGAGCGTTACACTCGGCGAACCATTTGTCGAGTGTTTTATGTCTTTTGCCGAGTGTTTTGGGCACTCGGCAAACTCAAGGAGTCCGGTAGTGTTCCCACCACTAATTGCAGAGGTGCTCTGATCGGATGTTACTTGTGTATCAGTCAGACACCCAGGCTATCAGTCCAATTGTCCAAGTTTGAACAAAAAAATTACATCTTCCAAACATTCACTACTGGAAACAAAGCCTTTGCCGAGTAAAAATTACATCTTCCAAACATTCACTAAAATGAAAATGAGGGAAAAAGGAGCATGGGGTTATTCTACAATTAAACGACAAGAGTAATATCTTAAACTACATCAAG